AGATTTATGTTGTCTTATCCATGGTAAGCATGAGTTTCCCATGCAGTACAATTTTTGTTTATTTAAACTGCTGAAATTCCAAGATCCACATTGGTTATCTGCTCATTTTATTTTTTTACTGTACTATGTTTTACCATCCTTGTGCCTCTCAGAAAGTAATCTCAAGGCCCTAGTACTGTAGGCTAAACAGTGTAATGTATTCTCTCATTTGATTTCAATCCATTTCCTTATCAATGAGGAATATTTCATTTTTTTTTAAGATTTGTTCGCTTATTGAGAGAAAGAGAGTGCACACGAGTGCACAGGGGGCAGGGGCGGGGAGAGAGGGAGAGAAAGAACCCCAAGGAGACCCCCCCAATGAGTGTGGAGCCTGATGTGGGGCTCAATCTCAGGACCCTGAGATCAGGACCTGAGCCAAAACCAAGAGTCGATGCTTAACCGCCTGAGCCACCCAGATGCCCCAATGAGGAATATTCCTTAAAGCTAATGACTTAACATGCAGTTTCCGTACTACCAGTCATGCCTCTGGTTGGCAGGACTGGGGAGTCACCCAGCATTGTCCTGTTTCTGCAGTGCTGCCTTTTTCCATGCTTTCCATGCTGCTTCTCCATCTCGCTCCCTCTCCCACTGAGCTTAGGCTTGCCTCAGAAACCTTCTCCACCTTGGGCTCCAGAAATTCACCCCCTATCAGTGGGAGCAAGCATCCCCAGTGAACCACCTTACTGTCTTAGGGTTCTATCCTGTGTAATCTTAATTTCTTGCCTTTATTGATGCCAATTTTGGAAATAGGCCCACTAGTTAGGAACACTTACCTTATTATGCATATTTGGAAATTAGGTGAAAACTTATAGCAATAAGAGTTTGGGTTCCAAACAACTATGAACACTTAAACAACTGACAGATTTAATAATAATGAGTAATTTTATGAAAGGTCTCTTTTCTACATTATCCAAAGACTTTTCATTCTAGATTTATATGTGGTTCCCTTAGCCTTTTAAAAGTAAAGTGGCCTCTGTTTTTTCTTTCAGTCCCTGAGCTTCCCAGTTGATCTAATGGCAGCAATGGCTCAATTTTCTATAGCTCCATGGCCATCTTTAAGTTGATATTAATGCTCCTGACCTTTGACAATGTACAATAAAATATGCTGCAAAGGACTAAGTTAGGAAAGATTCTATAAGGGAAGCCCCCAAAAGAATGATTCATGGCAGGATTTCAGGAGGAGCTGGGGGTGCAGAGGTTGTCCACACAAGGAGGTGGCGGCAGCCATGACTGTGGATGCCTTCCCATCCGGGGCTTTCACTCACTGAGCCAAAAGCTCAGCAAATGCCCCATGTGGGGAAGAGCTCTATGCTCCTTGTGTTCCTGGGTGTCACATTAGTCAAGGGAATCAAGGGTCTGAAGCAAAGTCACAGCAGTGTTTAGCCCCGCTCCCTACTCAGTTTTGTTATTGGTGACTTAAAGAACTATGGACAGAACACCTTCCTGGGCAGCCAGGGCGCTCTCCGCGGCCATCACCAAGGCCCTGCTGCCCCCGCCTCACACAGTGGTATACCTGCACAACAAGGGCAAGGAGCTACTTTCCTCCAAGAGCAATGGCACTTAGCAGATACCGGCTGGATAGTTAGCTCTTACCTGTCTGCTCTACCCTGGGACAACATGGATGTACCCTCCTGGTTTGCCAGTCTTCAACCTGCTCTCCCAGGTATCACCACTGGTTCCAAAGCCCCCTCAACTATTTCTTCCAGCTCTGCTAGAAATGAGCGCAAAAGAGATTGATGACAGGCTATCCCCTACTCTCTGAGACAATGCTTTATAGCAAAAGGGTTTGGAAATCTTTATCACATCTTATAAAGGAAGTTCTGTATCCAGGAAGCTAAGAGTATTATAAAATCCCTTATTATCATTCCAAGGGTACCAACTGGCCCTGGAAATTGGAAAAGTAATGCAGAAATCACAGCTTCTCACAAGGCCATGGCCCTTCTCTAACCCAGGGTGGGGTCAGGGCAAAAGGTCATTTCCCACTAGGTTGTAACTCTGAGCTGCAACTTGCAAGATTTTAGCAGTGGAGTGGGGAGAAGGAAGGTTTCCCCCTCCATACCACAATAATGTGAGGGACTCTGGGTCTAGGCCTATCTCTGTTCCCCGCCCCTTTCACTTTCTATCTTGGTGACCTGATGAGCACTCCATCTGGCTTCCTGCCTGTGCTAAGTTTTCCTGCACTCTGGAACTGGACGTGTGGCTGGAGTAGGGGTGGAGGGGGTTAGTGAGGAAGAGAAAAGGGAGTGGAGTGGCAGGTGGGAGGGGTTTGAGCCAGAATCCACATGCAGTGCCCAGCCTTGGCCCGACCCCATCTTCCAGGGGCAGTGGCTGGCAGGCAGGGTTTTTAGGTCATAGTTTCAACCATCATCTGGCAGGATATGTGTGAAAGGCAATTTGGGGGTGTCTGTGGAATGGATGACGATTGGATGTCTTGACATCCTAGCTCTCTGGAGGTAGGTGTGTTCGGAAGGCTGCTGCAGAGAGGGAATGAGAACTGTTCGGGAGAACTGGAGATAAAGATGTGAAATAATCATGGTGTGATCCAAGAAACAGCGATATGGCTTAAATGGTTTACCTGGTCTTATAACCTAATGGAGAGCAATTTCCATAACCCAGCAAATGTTCTAACCATTAGAATATTTATGTCTGCATATATTTTTCCCTCTTAAAAAAAATTCAAGGCTAAGTACACAAATAACTATGCTATAACAAAGAATGAGCTGAGTGCTACAAGAGAGGTATACAGTGGCCGGAGAGAAAGTGTGTTACAAGCAGCTTTGGATCTTGGGGGTCCCAGCACCTACTAGCTCATGGCCTCAAAGAGGCATTAACCTCTTATTTTCCTCATTAGTCAAGCAGGATTTAATAATGTCTGTACAGCAGAATTGTTAGGATTAGAGACAATATATGTCAAGTACCTACCATAGTGCCCCAAATAGACTGGCCCCTCTACAAATAACAGCTACCACTTTTTTTTTAAATTGTATTTATTTATTTGAGAGAGAGTGCCCTTGAGAGAGAGAGAGAGAGCATGAGCAGGGTGAGGGGCAGAGGGAGAGGGAGAAGCTGACTCCAGGCTGAGCAGGGAGCTAGATAGGGGACTCGATCCCAGGAACTCCAGGATCATAATCTGAGCTGAAGGCAGATGCTTAACACACTGAGCCACCCAGACGCCCCAGAATAGCTACCACTTATATGAGTGTTTTAAATCAAACTGTGGATAAAACTTTTGTGTCCCACTGAAATACACCTTCCCTGGATGGGAGCATCCCATAGGGGAGGTCTAGTCAAAAAGACTTCAAAGAGCTTCAATCAACTTCTAAGAACACAGCGTTGGGATTGAGGGCGAGGGGAGAACCTCGGATTTCTATCTACCTTCTGAGCCACCGTAATGATAGAAGCTGCTAGTAGTTGGGGTCTGCATTCGCGCCAGCGAGCTAAGCACTATACACGCACTTTTCCATTTTATCCTCCCACTGGGCCTCCAAAGCACGTATCCGTCCCATTTTACCGGGAAGAGAATGGAGGAGAATCCGAGGTCCAGCAGCTTGCCCAAGCCAACCCGGTGGTGGAGTTGGGAATTGGGTTTTAAGTCCAACTCTGCTGCCCAAACTCTCAGTCACTTCCCCGAAGTCAGCTTCCAGTTCCACTGAGCAAAAAAAAAGCCCTGCAAGAGGCCGCCCGGCTCCTCCACCGCCGCCTCCTTCTGCACCCCAGCCCCTCCGCGCCCCACTCTCGCTCCTCCCTGCTCTCCCTTCCCTGCTCACTCGACTCCGGAGTTGGTGCTCCGTTCCTTACTTGCCTCAGATCCCCTTCGCTCCCGCCCCCCTCCACGCCCCGGGAGTGAAACTGCCCCAATTTACCTGCTGGGGCAGGAGTGTCGCAGGTTGGCCGGTTTCCTGCACCTGGCCACCCCCTTAGCCTGGGAGCCCGCTCTCGCCGCCGGCTTCCGTCTCCCGGGGCTCTCTTCACACCCCAAGGCCGCCGGGAACTTCCCCGAACCCCACTCTAGGGTAGGCGCAGCTAGGGGAGGTGAGGTGAGGCGAGGGTTGTGTGTGCGCGCGGCGTGAGAACGAGTGCGCGCGTGCGCGCGCTGGACCCGCGGGAGGGAAGAGGCGCCGGACCGAGCGGCTGCGTCACCCACGCGGTTCACAAATGGGGCTGACTGGGGTTTCATGGGGGGAGCGACACTTCAGCCTTGGCTGTTTGAGCCCCTGATTGTCTTGCCTTGCCTGCCATTGCCCCACAGAATGGCCCTGCCTCAGTTCCCTCCTTGCCATTGTGTCCAACCCTGGGACAGGACGAGGGGGCGATGCAGGGGAGGGCCAGGTGGCGAGGTCGCCTTCCCGCGTTTTCACTTTGTCCACTTCGCGAGGTGAAAGCGAGGGTGCAGATGAGGCGACGCTACCGCGGGGAAGCGAAGAGCAGGCGGGCGGTGCCACCTGCTGAGAGCACCGCGGGACGAGAGCGGCGGGCAGCGCCACCTGCTATAAATAAGCTGCCCGGGGCACGGCGTGCGACCGCACATCCCGCCGCGAGGGCCTTCATCACGCGCGGGGCCCCGAATCCTCGGAGCCCAGGCGGACGCGGGGCCAGGACCCTGCGCCGGGGCTGGCTGGGGCGGTGCCAGGACCCCCCGTCCGTCCCCGCCCCCCCTGCCCCCCGCCGCCCGGCCCGGCCCGGCCCGGCGCGCGGAGGATGGGCGGTCCGGCAGGGGAGAGGCAGGGAGAGGAGGGAGGCCGCGGCGGACCCGCACTGCAGCAGCTGTTACCCGCGTGTGACTCGCCTGTCCCGACCGTGCCGCTCGGGCAGAGTCACAAGGCGCAGAGAGGAGGGAGGGAGCACCGCGTCCCCCTCTTAGGTCCCTGGGGACCGAGTTGGGCGATCCCGGCTTCTGCCCTCCCCTCGCCTCCCCCACGCTCGCCCAGCGGGGGAGGAGGAAACGCGAGCCGCGCGCAGACACCTCCTCCTCCTTCGCCGCGGCCGCAGCCGCCGCGCCACCGTGCCTGTTGCTGCCGCCGCCGCGGGACCCGCTGTGTCCTCAGCTGGGCGTAGAAGAGGCGGGAGCCGAGCGGAGAGGATCCCTCCCGGCACCCCCCCCCACCCCCGCCCTGCGGAAGAGCGCAGCCAGCCCGGCACGATGGGCGCCCCGCCCGCCCAGGCAGTCACCACGCCGCCCCCGAGCACCTGCGCGCCCCGGCCGGGCCCTGGGCTTTGAGCGCGCCGTGATATAGGTAGGTGCTCTCCGGGGCTTCCACGCCTCCGGCGGCATCCCGGCCGCCCCTCCCGGCACCAAACGCACCCCTGTGCTCCCGGGCCCGCGGAGCTGGAATCCGGCAGCCCAAGGGCGTTCGTGCTGTGCTTGCCGCGCGGGGGGCTTCCGGGGTGGGCGGGTGGGGTTCATTGCCACCTCGTTGCCCCCCTACTCGAACGAAAGTGAAACCTTCAAGTTCATGAAGGCACAGGAGCGCCGACAGGCACCCTCCTCCAGCCCCCCTTCACTCCTGCTCGCTTGGCATCTACCCCCTCCCGCCAAGTATCTCTGGGGGCTGCTGTGTTTGTAGGGCGACCGGACTGCGGGGGGGAGGGTGGTCATTGTGACCCCTTGCCATCCTTTAAAAGTTCACGGTACTTTGCAGTAACTTGGGCGGCTCCAGCAGTGCGCACAACATTTCTTTCTATGGGCACATCCTGTACCAGTCATTTTGAAACCCTGCTTAATTGTTTCTAGCAGCTTCCTCATCGTTCTGTGATTAGGAGACCCCTCAAACTTTGCCACACACTGTTGTTGTTGTTTTAAGAGACTGTTTTCTTTGAAATCCACCTAGAGGTGGCTTTACCTGTTATTTTGTTTAAAACAGATTATTCTCTGAAAGTTGCTTAAAAAGGAAAAGAAATTGAAAGTGATGATTGTTCCTCCCACCAAACAGTTTAATTTTCAGAGCGCCTCACATTAAGGGATAGGTATAGATCTCTCATTCTGTCTTTTACATGATTGGATGATTTCATTTATTAATATAATCAAGACTTTGAAAGAGCATTTTTAAATGACTTGGTTTAAACGGGTCACACCCAAGAAATTCCTCTCTCTTTACAAGGCCGAATTTCAAAACTTTTCACACTGTACTTAAGCAGAACTACAGGGGACTTGGTCGAGACCCCTTCTTTTGGAAAAGAGAAAATCATTATCTGCCTAGATTTGATGGGATTGATAAGAGTTGGAGCATAGCCATGTCTGGGAGTTGGGGTATTTTGGGAGCCTGCTCTGTGTGGGAGGGGCTGGGGTAGAAGACTGAATGGGGAGTTGTTGCAAGAGGCTGGGGATCCACCTTAGTAAATGACTCTCCCGTGTTTCTGAACACTTCATGTTCTAGTACTCTCTTGGGTTAGGGACCCCTGAAGCAGCTAGAGTTCAGATGGCTTCTCTTGCCTGGGGGCAGTGTTCCTCACGATCAGCTCCTTCCTGAGAATCCTGAAGACTGTCTAAAGGAATAAGGACATTGCATGAAAAATTCTGTATAAAAAAGGATTGACTGCTTTTGTAAACAGGTGTTTTAGAACTGTTTGAAATGGAATGCTTATCACGGTCTTGAACCTCCCTGCTTCTTTTTTTTTCCTACCAAGTTATAGAGAAATCAGACCATAAAAAAGGGCTTTCTCCTTAGTTTTATCTGTAAGTAACCATTGATATAATATGAGCTACTGGACAGTGGACACAGCTGTGAATTACAGGGTGCCGTGTGAAATGTTTAGGGGATACTTTCTGAAGTGAACGCAAGAGGAATATCCCGAGACTATTAACTGAATGCAAGGAGATGTAAAAGGGACTAAGTGTGGCTCAAAGCAGTAAATAAAATTATCATATATGAAAATAAATGTTTTTATGTTGATTTGTCCTGCCATTTGCAAACCAGCAAAATAGGGGGAAAATTCATTGGTGTAGTTGTAAATTATTAACATCAAATTTAAGTTTTGCAAATGTCTGCCATAGTCTACCACTCTCTTTCCCACTGAGAGGTCTGGGGATTTCCCTTTTCACTATGATAGCATTTCTGGTTGAGTGCTGTTGTATCAGTATTGGGATGACTTCTCCCCCATTGACTGTTGTAGAAAGTACCACAGGGTCTGAGGAGGAAGTGAGTGACTCTGAGGAAATGCAGCTTGCCTCTTCTTCCTCATTATCCAGCTGTTGACAGTCTTTGCCCTCCATTTCCGGAGAAGGCAGCCTCCACCAGAGAGGCTACATCACAATCAAATAGATTCCTGTGCAGAGCCAGGTGTGGGTGAGCGGCTCCTTTCTGCCAGATTGTCTGGGATCTTCTGGGACAGACCACCGGTGACCAGCAGGGAGTGGCACTTACCTGTTCCCCATTCATACCCAGCATGTTCCATCATTATGGCGCCCGGAGTAGGGATGCCTGCTTGAGAGGCTTCTTCTGTCTTTGAAAAGGCTTTTAATTTCATCTTGTCAAAATGGCAACTCCCTCAGGCCCCTTTTCCACTCTTCCTGGCATTTCTCTGAAGTTCCCCAGCCTCGGCTCCTTACATTCCCCAAATGACCTAAGTCTGCTTATGTGTTGGGGTAGCTTGCTTTGCCCTCCCCCCCAACACACCCCCGTCTGCTGGGCTGTGCTTCTTCAGTATGATGGCCACGAGCGTCCCAATATGTGATAGGTTTTTCAGCCCTCTTCTTGGCCATTAAAACTTGGAGGATCAGGGTCTGTGTGGTAAAGTGACTGATTCCACTCAGCAGACAGGCAGCTTTGGGTTCGAAGCCCCCTGGTGATGGCAGAGGATGTGGGTTTTCCGTGCAGAACCCCTTACAGTACCTTACGAATTGCCTTAGCAGACTTTTATCTTCATTTCTTCCTTTCCAACCCCACATCCCAAGAAAAAGATTTTTTAACCAGATTCTTCACAAAAGACATGAAGGTTTCCATTCTCACAATTTTTAACATTTTCAAGCTGAGATTTCCATTGGATGGGTTCTTAGATTTAAGGGCAATGTGTCCCTTTTGAGGTTTTCGAATGTTTAGAAAAGGATTTGTCATATTTGGGCCGTATGAATAATCTTGACACTTGGGTTTCAGTAAAGCTGTGCAGAATGTAGGAAATATGTTTTAGCGCCAACAATGAGGCGTTTAATTTTTGAGTATGCCTGTGTTCTTTGTGACAAGCAGCAGTGTTTTTCTCTTAAAAAGAGAGTGTACATATTTAACTACACATTAGTTACGATCAGTAAATCTAAGTTTCCAAAGTAGGTAAGTACGTACGAGTTTGTTGTCAAACTTAATGCATTTATACATGTAAAGTTCTTAGAACAGTGCCTGTTACATAGTGAGCACTCAGTAAATATTACTTATTGCTATTATTATTTTTATTTGTTTATTTTGTACTTCTAAGGTATAATTTTGACATTAGATTTGGATTAATGAGACCAAGCAAAGTTTAGATAGAAAAACCACCCAGCTAATTCACTAGAAAGATATTTTAGTTATTTCCTTCTAGAGATGTTTTTGTCACAAAGAATAGAAATTTGGGCATAAGACAAATCCTGCCTACACCATTAGCCAGGGGACCCGAATGGAAATGGGGATGATAAAACATACATCTCAGAGTTGTAAGAATACAGAAGATCATGTATGTAATGTCCAAGAAGAGGTTGTTGGTCAATAAGTATCCCTCTAGCAAAGTGGTTAAGAGCAAGTGCAAAGTCTGGAGTAGAAGGCCCTGGGTTCAAAACCTGATTTTCCCATCTGCCGCTAGGATGACCTTGGGCAAGTGACCTTACTTCTCTGTGCTAGCACCTCCTTTCTCATCTCTTATCTGAAAGCTGGAGCTGATAATGGTAAAAATCCACTGGAGTCCTTATTTAGATATGATAATAATAGTCTTTCTTGTCCAGGGTTGTTGTGAGAGCTCAGTTAACAGTCACACAATAAGTACTATTACAGATATGTTCACAGTTACTATTATTACTTTCAGTAGAATAACAAAGCAGCCGTGCGGGAGGGAGGGATATACATCCCCGAGGGCCAGCAAGGGCCCCTGGCCCATTATCCTGTGCCATAAAGTAGAAGAGAATACAGGAAGTGGCCATGGCATCCTAAAGGACTAGGCTTACATTGGCCCTGATTTATGTAGGAAGGAAGTCATTCCAAACATCATTACTTCATGTGTCAAATTAGAGAGGTGCATACTGGGGCTGGAGCGTCCTTGGTGTTGAAGAGGTTAGATCCACAGGCTCCAGAAGCTCTGTGTGATGGCTCTGTGTGAAATAGCCTGCTGCGCCCAAAAGATCTTTGGAGCCTGTGGGCAATTCCTAGGTAGCAGCACACTGCTCTGATTGGGTGAGATTCTGGGACAACTAGTGTAGCCACGCCCCAGGTGATCTTACTGCATGAGCCTAGAATATTCGGGGGGCAGAATAATTCTGTTCAGCTGCATGCCCCCTCTGTCTGGAGTAAAGAGCAGAAAAATGAAACCACTGATTTGTAAGGGGAAGTGAGTAGCTACCTGGGGACTCCCTGCTCATCCCGGGGCGGGATGAGGGGGTCCCCGACAGCTGATCAGTCTTGGCTGGTTCCTAACCAGGCTTGGAGCTAGAAGCTTCAACACCTCTCCTGGCTATCCCTCTTTTATCTCCTCCTCCCCTCCCACCAGCACTCCGAGAAGGTGACGGCTGAGTGTGCTGTGGCCGTGGTGTTTATCACTAGCTTCTGGAAGGTCCCCCTTCTATTCCCCATGGTTTGCCAGGACGGCATGGAGGCAGGCTGGGAAGAGAGGGGGTTCCCAATGGCGGCTTGCTAACTCCTGCCATCTCTTCTCTCGCTTCCTGATCAATAAACCCCACTCTTTCTTCTTGCACCTCCCTCACATTTGTATTCTCGACAGGAAGATGAGAGCAGCTTTCTATCCCCACACCACGTCGGGGACATTTGGTATTATACATTATGAAAATTAGATTTACCCGATTTTAGAGCTAGAGGACAACTTGAGGATCATCTTATTCCATTCTCTTCTAAGAATAAACTTGAGATTTGGAGAAGTTAAGTGACTCGCTTTCTCAGCTTGACCCTTGAAAATGTTTTCATCAGGAAACTGAGGTTCTCTGCTGCACTTGGATGGCAGTCAGGGATCGGATTGTCCTAATTCTGTCACCCAACTTGGTCAAACCACTTAACTTCTCCAGAACCACGTTTCCTCATTTCAAATATAAGGGAAAAAAATTTTTTTAGGGATTTTATTTATTTACAGACAGAGAGAGCACAAACAGAAGGAGTGGCAGAGGGAGAGGAAGAAGCAGGCTCCCCACGGAGCAGGGAGCCCGATGTGGGGCTCGATCTCAGGACCCCGGGATCACGACCTGAGCCGAAGGCAGACCCTTCACTCACTGAGCCAGTCAGGTGCCCTTCAAACATAAGGGAAATTTCTAAAGAGCTTAAAAGGACATTTCTGACTTTCAGATTTTATAATTCTAAGTGCATGCTTTCAGGGATATTTGATACAGAAGGACTCACTAAAGAGATGATTGCAACTGTTCTAATAAGAGTATCTTTGTGTTTGGGATGCCTACCATGTTTATGGACTGTGGTCGGTGGGAGCTGTGTAGCATACAGACGGTCTATGTGAGGGATAGAGCTTGTATAGTGATGATTCTACCAGCAAGAACATAACTAGAAGTTCGCTGGGGTAACAGATCGTGGTATTTCTTCCTGAGGGTAGGAGGTAAAGAGCCCTCTTAGAATCGGTAGTTCTACTAGGGACGGATGGTCAGAGGTTGCATGCCAGTGATGTGGACTGAGATGGCTTAAAAAATAATCTAATGGTATACTCGTATTATTTGAATAGATCATCTGTTTCACAGAACTTTTTATTGAAAAGTAGTACAGACAGTTACTCACCTAGTCTAAGTTACCATGAATCTTGTATCAGCAGAATCTGAATTGCTGATAAATAATTATGCTATCTTTGGCGTAGAACTTTTTTTCTTTAATTTTTACTTATTTAAGTAATCTCTGCACCGAACGTGGGGCTCGAACTCATCACCCTGAGATCAAGGGTTACATGCTCTTCTGACTGAGCCAGCCAGACACCCCCTGGTGTAGAACTTATTTGATAGTTCACAAACAGTATTACGGACCAATTTACTATTTACAGAGAAACTAAGAATGTGCCATGGCTGGTTCAAAAATGAAAACTCTAGGCATTTAATTAGTTTTGTCAATGACATGGCAGAACTAATTTGATGACTATATACTAAATGTTTGAAATTCTAAATTGTGTAATTTTTTTTGCACTATGTATATATTACCTTACAAGAAAACTGAAAATAATTCTGTATATTGTTGCCACGATATTAATAATTGCCTCATCTACACTACTTGGTAGATCTCAGGTCTCCGCTTTGTAATAATTCTAGTACTTCTTTAAACATGTCTTGGGATTAGCGGCTGTCAACAGTTAGAACTTGAAACGAATTCAGTTACAGGAGTGGAAGTTGAGCCAGACATTTAATGCCACTCTCACCAGGTGAAAGAGAGAAAAATGAAGAGAGAGAGAGGGAGAGACCATTATTTATGGGGTTATATGAACTTCAAGTCTGTTTTTATCATCAAGAGAGGTTGTACTTTAAAGGAGAAGAGACAGGGACTACGTTTCCACGAACTATGTTGGAGCTTGGAAGTGTGGGTTTATTTCTGAACTTCTGAAGATTTAAAATTAAAAATAGTTCTGAACTGTGTTCAAATCCTATTATAAAAATTCACTCTTATCATTTATGCATCTGTATGATATAGAAAAATATAGAGTTAAAGGAATAGACTTCAGTTCTATTTCAGAAAATGTTTAGAATTTGAATATTGAATATACTCCCGGTTCATACACAGCCGTCTTGTCTCGTATTTCCTCACATGGTGGGAGGGGGTAAGGGAGTACCCCGGGTCTCTTTATGAGGGCACTAATCCCATTCATAAGGGTTTCAGTCTCATGACCTAATCACCTCCCAAAGGCCCAATCTCCAAATACTGTCACATTGGGAATTAGGAGTTCACCATTCAGTCTGTAGCAATGACTCCTTGGCCTTTGGCTTGGCCAATAAACTAGTAATGCTATTTACAGAGATAGAGTCTATGGGCAGCAAGAGAAGTTCTGGGAAAGAGGGAGGTGAGACTGAGTTAGTTTATAATAACTAAATTGAGGGGTGCCTGGGTGGCTCAGCACGTTAAGCATCTGACTCTTGATTTTGGCTCAGGTCATGATCTCGGGCTTGTGGGATCAAGCCCTGTGTGGGGCTCCAGGCTCAGTGGGGAGTCTGCTTCTCTCCCTCTCCCTGAGCCTCTCCCCCTGCTTGCACGCACATACACTTTCTCTCTAAAATAAGGAATAAATCTTTAAAAATGACTGCATTGAGGCTGAGGTAGCCCTAGGCTATCCAGATAGAAATATTGAATGGTCTGCCCTCATCTGGATCTCAGGAAGGAGGTTCAATGGGAGACATTCACATGAGAATCATCAGGGTCTATGTGGTTGATGCCATTCTTGTGCAGCACTCAAGAGGATGGGTCGAGAATCAGGAGCCGACCCTCCCACGCCCACCTGTGACAAGCAACTCAAGCTCAGTGACCTAGGTCCCAACGATGGCAATACTAGTAGTCTGTAACCGAGGCTAGGGTTGGAGATGAAGATCTTGTAATATGCCCAGAGTGCACAAAGCTGCTAGCAGCCACAGCAGGACTGTTTGAAGGTGGTTGTAGACACCCGAGCCATTAGGTGAGACTGTCCAAAGAAAGCAGGTGGAATGAGGAGAAGGGATGGAGTTAAACAGGAGGGAAAGCCATCCAAGAACCTGAAAAGAAGCAACCAAGAAGGTAAGAGAAGCAGGAGTTTCAAGCAGGAGGGAGCGGTCACCATTGAGAAATGCATCAGAAAGGACAAGGCAGTTAAGGACTAAAAAGCCCCCTTTGGGTTTCACAGCCAGAAGATGTGGATGACCTTAATGGGAGCAAGTTCAATGCATAGGCAGTGCATCTGGTCACAATCGAGATTGTCGATTGTCGATGGGCAGTAGGAAGTGAGCCAGTAAGTGTAGAAGAAAGTTGTGTGGGGAAGGAAGAGTTGTGGCTCGGGAGGGTTGAGGTCAAGGGAAAAAGTCTTTTTTTTTTTTTTTTTCAGATGGGAGAGACTTCATTCATTTGTTTACAATGTTATTGAGCCTCTATTGTGAGTCAAACGCTGCCAGGCACTGGGGACACAATGGTGAATCAGACAGATGCAGTGTATAGGTGCTCAGGGAGTACATGACAGAAGGAAGATCCTGTGAGCAGCTGAGGAAGGATGAGGCTTGAGATCCTGTAGACAGGTTAGCTTTGCACAGAAGGGTTTTGTCCCCATGCATCAGATGTGGTTGTTGAAAATCACCCATAGGAGGGGGAAGGCAGGTGAGAGAGTTTGGGTAGACTGGAAGTAGCATCATCTATTGATGAGGAGAGGCAACGTGTGGGTATGATGGCTTATACTACATGAATTAAATGAAACAATATTTATGGTGCTATTTGGAGCATAACTGGCACCAATTACATGTTAATGAAATTTGAATTCATGTTCAGCACCTCTGGACTATGTCAGGGAGAGGCTTTTTAAAACTTAAGTAGTATCTTAATTGAAAAGGTCAGTTGTTGAAAACTGGTCTGGTTCAGTGGACTATGATAATGGATAGATAGCTGCTATTTTTTCTCTCAAGATTACTTTTTGGAGGGAGAATCACCACTGCTGAATTTGAGTATCTTTAAAAAAAAGTTCCTTAAGGGATACCTGGCTGGCTCAGTCCATAGAGCATGCAACTCTTGGTATTGGGGTCATGAGTTCAAGCCCCACACTGGGCATAGAGATTACTTAAAAAAAAAATTCCTTGAAATATGTGTTAATAGAACAGGGTTTAAAGGTATCTGAGCAGGACGATATTGTTTTCTGTCCTGCCTGCTTCTGATGGCTCTACAAGGCTTACAAATGTTTCACAGGAGTTTCCTGGTGGGATCTTTGTAACCTGTAGTGAATGTGACAGTTATGGCATTTTCAGGTTTTATTTGAAGCACAGTTTCAAGAAGGCTCTTTCTAGGCCAGACATCTTATTTGAACGAAGATCCGTTTCTTCCCATGTTTGGGTTTCAGGCTTTTAAGTTCCGCTGAAATAGTAACTCTTCAAAAGTAGCTATTGCTGTGATTTCATTAAATTCTCATGCCTTTGTTTTTCTCCCCCAGGATTCTGCCTCAGAAGCACATAAAATAGATTGCTCATTCTAAAACAGAAAACAGCAGAATAAAAAGGCCTCAGTGACACATAGGAAAAAAAAAAACTAAAACAGAAAACAGTGGCAACATTTTGCTGAGTTTTCAGACCTTTCCCAAGATGGAACCAATAACATTCACAGCGAGGAAGCATCTGTTTCCTAACGAGGCCTCCGTGGACTTCAGCCTGCAGCTGGTGGGCTCCTTGCATGTGCACTCTCTGACCACCATGCCGATGCTGCCCTGGGTCGTGGCGGAGGTGCGCAGGCTCAGTGGGCAGTCCTCCAAAAAGGAGCCTGGTGCCAGGCAAGTCCGGCTTTGTGTTTCCCCCTCTGGATTGAGATGTGAACCCGAGCCGGGGAAGAGTCAACAGTGGGATCCTCTGATCTGTTCCAGCATCTTCGAGTGTAAGCCCCAGCATGCTCACAAACTGATTCACAACAGTCATGATCCAAGTTACTTTGCTTGTCTGATTAAGGACAACGCAGCCAATCAGCAGAGTATCTGCTATGTGTTCAAAGCCGATGATCAAACAAAAGTAAGTGGAAGTGGGATGAAAGCAATGGAGGTGTAGCGGGATGGCTTTCATTGCATTGGGGGTCAGGACATTGACTTTATGGATACGGGGATGAATAAGAGGATGCTGTGGTCATACATAGATTATTTCACTGGGCTTTTTGGTTTATGGGGATAGTTTTTTTATAGTTTTGAAGAACATTTGATAACAGCTATTATGAATTATAATTTTATGAGTTCAAAAATTCAACAGAGAAATCTGCCTCAACTTATAAATAAGAGCTGAACTGTTAGGGTTCAGATCATTTAAGGTGTGTGTTCTAAAGCAGTGCTTCTCAAACAGAAATGTGCACATGAATCACCTGGAGATCTTGTTAAAATACAAATTTGGGTCCAGGAGGTCTGGGAGGAACCCGAAGACTACATTTCTAACAAGCTGCCAGGGTGATGCTGATGCTGTTCCTTTGCAGATTGCAGTTTAGGTAGTAGAGTCCTACCTAGATCAGTGAGCTCTACATCTTTGACCCTGTTAAAAAATATATATGGATTTAGAAGTTACATACGAATACCATTAGCCAATTCCCCGAGGTATCATGGTCACTTAGGCAAAGACTGTTATAAGAATAATGGATATGAATCCAAGTTTTGATACTTGCAGGTTTTGTGTGTGTGGATGCCAACTTTGTGTCAGGTCTGATTAACTCATTATTGTTATATCTCATGATGTGGCTGAGAAAAGTATCACATGAGAAATGGTAAAAGTATAGTCAGCTCTATGACTTTCCTGGGTATTGGTGCTTGCATTGTTGTTACCTTGTTTTGCAGTTCTATGCAGGACTTGTTTAAAGTCACTTGTCCATTTTGTGAGGCTCGGTTTAGATAAAATTGAAAGCATAATCCCTACGGCCACGTTCTCAGTTGGGCCCATGTGAACTTTGATATAGCCTTCATTGCTGACTAACCCCATGAGCTGAGGAATGCCCCTGCCAGGCCTAGCATCCCTCTGTGGCTGTCTGCCATGCACTGAGTGAGGGGGCCAGTGCCAATCATGTGGTAAATGTCAGTAAATAGAAATAGAAATGCTAATGTTTTTCTCCCTCTACCTCACCATTTTGTTGGGTTTTGTTTGTTTGTTTTGCACACCCTCCAGGGTGCAAGAACTTCATTTAGAAATTCATGCTCTTGGTGACCTAAGTGGATTCTTAGAGATTCACTTTTAAGCAAAAGTGGTTCTTTGACTCATTCATTCAGTGAGTGCTGCTCCAGATGCCGTGCAAGAGGATATCAGTACAGGCTAGAAGAAAGGCAGAAGCAATGGTAGGTAAATAGCACGTGGGCCATGTCCAGGTCATGACCGGAAGACAGAGAACAGAGCCTAACACACTGGCTATAAGGAAGGTTTTCTCAATAAAGGCTAATTTGAAGCTTACAACCATTATTTTACCCACAGAATTGGATATCTCCTCAGTCATAAATCATTTAATGTTATCATCCATGCATCTCAAGTAGATGGGACAGCATCCCAGTACAGAGGATCTGAGGGACCAAATTCCAGTCCAGTCTGCCACTTATAAACTGGTGGCCTCAGGCAACTCTGAGCCTATTGTCTCATCTGTAAAATGGGGATAATTATCATGTCTATCTCATAGTGTTGCCAGGGGGACCAAATGAGCTACAACAGCACCTTAGGAAGCACTTAGAGCCATAAAAAAATCTTCATTAAAGAAAATTTTACTGGAAGCAGATTATTACTGAAATCAGCAGATGCTGATTTCACTTTAAGTCTAAGGTAATAGGAAAAAGGAGGCCAAGATGAGTGTCTTCAGCTCCCAAGATCCTGGTCATCCTTGAGCAACATTTTTATAAACTAGATACTTTAAAAACTGCATAAATAAACTTAATGGTTGCTATTATTTGGGCAAATTCCAGAATGTAAATGAAAGGACTGAACAGCCTGTACTCCAGGCCTGCTCTATATAAGGACTGAATTTCCTTGGGGAGAGTCTTTGTGTGGGATAGTTGTCCAGCACTTTACACTTTTGACTCTTTCCCAAAATTTTTTACAGCCATCTGGGAACAGGCTCCTGGCCAGTCATCCAGATACCTAATAGGAAAAAGAGATTTATAGCTAAATTCTGTAACTGGAGCTCCCAGTGTTGCTGAAAGTAGACAACTGGCCTTACTCTGTGTTCTGAAAAGCCATGATAGAAATATGAATTAGGTCTTGAGTTATTTTTGGCTTGCATACAATTTTTCCAAGCGCAGATTGCCAGTACTCGGAGCAATACATTGCTGTCATCCTGCTCCTTGTATAAAAGAGTAATTTGTAGCAGAGGCACCTCAATCAGTGATTTGGTTTTGTTGGAAACTGAATGGTAAACCAAATTGGCCCCGATTCTCCATCGGGCATCATAGCTTTGATGTTCTTGGGACGTCTCTGGCACTGTATCTTATGGTAGAGGATTATCTGCTGATGCAGCACGTTAACCTATGTCATCATTTCTCGTGATTATTTGAAACATTTGCTCAGTGAAATCATTCTCCAGATTAAGGCCTCTCCTAAATAGATGAGGTCACTTTGGGTTCTGCTTGCCAGAGGAGATATATGCATTTACTGCCAGGGTTAGAAGCACAAAACTACTACTTGAGAGGAAACCCTTCAATAGTATATAAATTAACTTGCTGAAGAATGTCTAGGGAGAAGAGGCATATAAAGGAATAATTTTTAGAACACAAGATGAGACTGTTTCCCATAGTGTGTTCCATAGAATACATTCAAGGTGCTCCATAGAGAAAGGCTTCCACATCAAAATGCATTAGGGCAGCATCTCCAACTTTTTGACATGAGGATCCCTTTTTAGTCTTAAAAATTATTGAGGATTCCAAAGAGCATGAAGGTGGCTTATATTTATTAATAATTACTGTACTAAAAATTAAAACAGAAATTTTGAAGGTACTAATTTCTTCATTTGTTAAAAAACAAAAGTAATATGCCCCTTATGTGTTAGCATAAAAAATATTTTTGTGAAAAATAACTATATATTTTCCAAAAATATTTAATGATAAGAGTGACATAGTTTTACTTATTTTTTTTCTGTTGTTTGTTTTTTCACATCTGTTTTTATCTGGATTAATAGACAACTACTACTGGATTCTCCACTGCTTCTCCATTCATTCTGTCATGATATGTTGTTTTGGTTGAGTATATGAAGAAAACTTGTCCTCACACAGCTATGTGGTAGGAAAATGGAGAAACATTTTACAGTCTTTTTAGAAAATTGTGGATTTTTTTTTTTTTTACTACTATACCAAAACTTGACAAGTGGTAGTTGCTTAAAGGCTTGTTGCAATATGAAATCTGAAACTGTATCAAAGCGCTCTTGCACTTTGTTATATTAAAATCCATTGATCTGGGGCACCTGGATGGCTCAGTCGTTAAGTGTCTGCCTTTGGCTCAGGTCATGATCCCGGGGTCCTGGGGTCCTGGGGTCTAGCCCCTGCATCGGGCTCCCTGCTCAGCGGGAAGCCTGCTTCTCCCTCTCCCACTCCCCCTCCTTTGTTCCCTCTCTCACTGTCTCTCTTTCTGTCAAATAAATGAATGAAGCCTTTTAAGGAGAAAATAAAAAATAAAAAATAAATAAAATCCATTGATCTGTCATGCATTTTTATGAATCTTTTAAGCACGTATGACTGTGTAACATCATGCATTGATTATTCGGAAGACATTGGTTCACTGAGTTATATAGTCCACACTCTGAGAACCATGGTTTTAGAGAAGCTGTATTTTCTATTTCACTCTTGAGTTGTACACTAGTCCATGAAATCCCCAAATTTATTGGGCCATAGATTACAGTTTTCTCATAACATCCAAGAACATCCCTCAGAACACATGTGAACACAGTGGGATGAGGTTCTGGGTTGAAGTGTAGTTTTGAGTTTGGGTCCATGGTAGGAAGTGAAGACATCCATCCTGGAAAACAGATGGTTGCATGAGTGACCCTGACTAGATCTTTCCCCCATCATATCACAAAGAAATCTGGAGTTCTGCCCAGACTCAGCCCTTGAAAAATAGTCTAGTTCTTTCCTCCTCCGGTTAGTTCTTCAGTTTTGTCTCTTCTATGAAAATCTGTACTCAGAAGAACATCAGATTTGCCACTCGAGTTTTACTTGAGATCATTCATAAGAATATTTCTATTTCTCTCCTTTTCTTTATTTATCGAGGAAAAAACTCTGTTTCCTTGAAAGGGAGTTTCCATCACTGAGTTGCAGGTGGTGTAAGTGCTGGGGCTTCTGACGTTGTCTGTTGCTGTTTTGTGTCAATAGGAAGAAAGAATAGATTTTGAAAGGGGAGTGGAGGGTATTATTAAGATGGTAGTAAATGGAGAAGTGTAGGTTGGTGAGCAGGTGAGGAGAGGGGGCAGGAGGTGCGGGACCCCGGGGTAAGTCAGAGATTGGGTACATGAGAGCAGTTTTACTAAGTGCCCATTATTTTTTAACTGATCTTCCTTTTGTGCTTGAAATATGTCCTGGCTTTTCAAACACTCTTTTTGACTCTCTTCAGATTCTGATCTTCCAGATGCTGTGTCCAGTCTGGGCACAGTGTGGATATTTCATAATTGTGATGGGACAGATGTCATTAATGTGGGAGTGCTCGTGGGCTTCCCCTTCTCCATCAGAGAATCTGGTATTTGCTAGAATCTTTTTTTTTTAACATTGTGAAATTTTTATTTTATATTTTCTAAATTTAAATGTTTTATTTAAAAATTTTTTTAGGGGCGCCTGGGTGGCTCAGATGGTTAAGCATCTGCCTTCGGCTCAGGTCATGATCTCGGGGTCCTGGGATCCAGCCCCGCATCAGGCTCCCTGCTTGGCGAGGAGCCTGCTTCTCCCTCTCCCTCTCTTGTTCCCCCTGCTTGTGCTCTCTCACTCTCTCTGTCAAATAAATAAATAAAGTCTTTAAAAAAAATAAAAATTTTTTAAATTAAAAAATTTTATATTTTCTAAACTTGAAAGTCAAAAATC